CCCTTTACTCCCCACTGGCCTTGTCCGTCTTCTCCCCTCCTCTCCCCCCCGACCCCCCCGTACATTTGATGCCCCTTCTTTATTGATGCCCCGTCCCTCCACTGCTCTTCAGTAGCGCTGAGACGTTTTATGGGTTGTTTGTTAAAGTGTCCAAGCGTAACAGGCTGGCTGTCTCCTCTGTTTCCTCTCGTCCTCCCTCACCCTCACCCTCACCCTCACCTACAGGGAATGGTCGTGAGTGCGGCTTCCCCCTCCTCACCTCTGGTGTTGCATGATTTAGAAGCAGTGGATCTCTAATGCACAATTGCAGGGACTCTTCAATTTCTCATGCCTTTTTTTTTTTTTTTTTTACCAAATGAATAGTGCTGAACGCAGAAACACTTACATAGCTTACGTGAAAAACCTGATTCTTTTCTCCCCCTCACGTGTGTAAATTGTATATAATGATGAGGCGGCGCTTTGCTCTGTCTGAACACGCGTCGGTTTTCTCTCAATTATCCAGCGATTGGACGCTTAATGTTGCAGAAGATGAGGGAGTTGAAAGGAAATAGAGGCCTACAGCTGCAGAAGAGGTCTGACTGCACTTAAGAAGGCGTAGACACAAACACTTACAGCGGGGGTGTCCAACATACGGCCCGCTGGCCAAAAACGGCCCTCTGGCCAAAAACGGCCCTCTGCGGAGTTGATGGAAATGGATGGATGAAATTTGGAAAAAAAATGCACAAAGCTGTGGAGTTCGATCTGGCCCGCTTGATGAAATTTGGAAAAAAAATGCACAAACACTTCATGTTCATGATGTTAAATATGAATGTTTGCTCATAAACTTGTACTTATTTGAATGAAAGCTAAGGAGAAAAACATGGACTTAATGTTATTTACAGGAAATTATGCTATGATTTGACTGGTCCGGCCCACTTCACATCAAGTCTGACCCTGAATCAAAATGAGTTTGACACCCCTGACTTACAGACACTCCCATGCAGAGGACGTATATGTTCGTTTTCAAGGCTGTTAATATGCATATGAAAGGATAGGAGGCGACGTTCTCCCTAATCTCTCAGCCAAGACACCAATTACTGAAGAAAATCCTTCCAGTTTATCAGAGCCTCACATGCAGCGGTTCCCCGGCTCTCAACCTCTGGTCTGTGTTGGCTCATTATGCACTGGTAGGGAAATTGCAGCACATGGTTCATTTGGGTGTGAGATTAATTTTACATGTTGTGTTTTGATGGTTTTTGACGGCGTGATTTAGTATAACCACGTGTTATCAAATTATGCTGCTGATGGGTTCTGACAAACTGGCAGAGCTGCTCTAGATGCTCTCAGACACGTGCACACCCAGGCAGAGCACTGGTAGAGTTGTTTTCAAGGCTGTTAATAGACATCTGAAATGAGAGGAGGTGATATTTTTGCAGTATTTGAAAACGCAGCTCATGGTTTAATTGGGTTCGTATTGAGGCTAAGTGGAATCAGTTTAAAGGGTCACGTTTTAAACTGTTGTGTTTCATGTTAGATCAAATATTTCCAACAATGAAAAACAAGCATGTCAGAGGTCAGCCATTTTTATAGAAATATAATATTATTTTATCACTGAAACTAAGTTCAGTAATTATGATAAGTGGAGTCACTTTTAGCCCTTAATTTTTAAGGTTTTTTTTTTTACAAAAAGCCAACATTTGTCTACCAGGAGGTTAATAATTTGATTGTTTTAAAAAATCGAAGGATTTTCTGGATAGTTTTTCATTAACAAAAATATATAAAATAATTGATTTTGGTTTTGATTTTCTTTATCTGTTGTGACCTGATAAAATAATTTGATTTTCTTTATCTGTTGTGACCTGACACACTTGACATTTGTTTCTTTTATTTTCTTTCTTTTTTTTTTGTATTTCCTAGTTATTGCTCTAACGTAGTTTTGTCTGGATTTACTTCCTGTGTCCCTTGGTTTCGTGCCCCGCCCTGACGTGTCTCACCTGTGTCTCATTAGTTTGACTTGAGTCTAGTCACGTTTTGTGCTCACACCTGTTACGCCGTGTGTTATATTTACCTTCTCATCGTTGGGCGTGTCATTGTGAGTAATCTGACTGATTGTGTGAGTATTCTTTCCCATCAGTTTTCTGTTTGACTTGTTCTTCACTGTAGAAGAGGAGCACGTCTTGATTATTTACCTCAGGGAGTGTGTCGTTTTAAATTGACTCGTGCACAAAAATGTGTTTTTATTTTAAAACATTCACTGAGAAACAGAAACATTGCAAACTACACCTTTATCAAAAGTGTTGTTCACACTCACCAATGATGGATTTTAAAAACCATAGACACGCTTGATCGGCTTACTAAAAGGGTGCGCCAACAAGTTATTCCCCGGAGGTGTGTAGCCACTATGGAGGAATTGGAAAAATATAAAATCTAAAAAAAACAAACATTGGTGAAAACATCCAGGCAAAAACTGACCCAAGAATTTAATATCA